CCCAGTATCTCCACCAGTGCCCCTCGTTATGGGGACAAATGGTTATGAAAACCAATAACCTTTTTTCTTTTACTGGGGTTTCTCAATCCCAAAGGACCAAGCCCCAGACCCAGGTCAATATACAAATCAGATCTTACCCACAAATCACGCTGTTGCCAATCCTTTAGAATCTAAAGTCTAAAGGTTTATTCTTAAAAGGAAAAAGATAGAGATGAGAGCTAGCAGTGGTGAAATGGAATCAATGACATACAGTGATGGCAAAGTTCTTGGTTCAGGCTTGTAGCAGAGATAGAATAAACTGCAGGTTTAAATCAAGTCTCTGGAGAACATCCCCAGCTGGGATGGGTCATTCAGTCCTTTGTGTAGAGCTTCTGTTTGTAGCAAAGTCCCTCCAGAGGTAAGAAGCAGGATTGAAGACCAGATGGAGGAGCTCCAGCAGCTGTTTATAGTCTCTTGCCATGTGGTCTCTGCTTTCTTTGTCCCAAAGACAAGCTGTCCATCCCATGGCCTGGAAACACCTCAGAGTTCCGTCCCTAGGCAGGTCCCTGCCTGCCTGGCTGAGTCCCCAGGCGTGTCTGCCTTCTCTCAGTGGGTCACTTGTGTAGCTGATGGTCCTTAATGGGCCACCCAGCAGGCTGGGCAGAGCAGACCAACCTGTCTGGGGTGGCACCCAGAAGCACAGCACATGTTTGAACTACAGACAGTACAGAGCCAATATTCATAACTTCAACTACAAAAATGATACATGCAAACAGATCACATAATCAGAACCAGCCAACCATCACCTTGTCTGAGACACCTCATTTGACCCCCTTTATACAAGATTTGGTGCCACTACAGGACTTTGGTCGCAACAATGATCTATACGGTCCCAGTTCATGTCAATAACATCACAACCCATTCCTGTGCTTCACCACCGTCCTAATGAAATACTTTTTCCTAATATCCAACTTAGATCTCCCCCAGTGCAACTTGAGACTATTACTCCTTGTTCTGTCATCTGCTACCACTGAGAAGAGTCTAGATCCACTCTCTTTGGAACCCCCTTTCAGGTAGTTGAAAGCAGCTATCAAATCCCCCCTCATTCTTCTCTTCCGCAGACTAAACAATCCCAGTTCCCTCAGCCTCTCCTCATAACTCATGTGTTCCAGTCCCCTAATCATTTTTGTTGCCCTCCACTGGACGTTTTCCAATTTTTCCACATCCTTCTTGGGGTGTGGGGCCCAAAACTGGACACAGTACTCCAGATGAGGCCTCACCAGGGTTGAATAGAGGGGAACGATCACGTCCCTCGATCTGCTGGCAATACCCCTACTTATACATCCCAAAATGCCGTTAGCCTTCTTGGCAACAAGGGCACACTGTTGACTCATATCCAGCTTCTCGTCCACTGTAACCCCTGGGTCCTTTTCTGCAGAACTGCTGCTGAGCCATGCGGTCCCTAGTCTGTAGCGGTGCATGGGATTCTTCCGTCCTAAGTGCAGGACTCTGCACTTGTCCTTGTTGAACTTCACCAGATTTCTTTTGGCCCAATCCTCTAATTTGTCTCGGTCCCTCTGTGTCCTATTCCTACCCTCCAGCATATCTACCACTCCTCCCAGTTTAGTGTCATCTGCAAACTTGCTGAGGGTGCAATCCACACCATCCTCCAGATCATTTATGAAGATATTGAACAAAACCGGCCCCAGGACCGACCTTTGGGGCACTCTGCTTGATACTGGCTGCCAACTTGACATGGAGCCATTGATCACTACACATTGAGCCCTACGATCTAGCCAGCTTTCTATCCACCTTATAGGCCATTCCTCCAGCCCATACTTCTTTAACTTGCTGGCAAGAATACTGCGGGAGACCGTGTCAAAAGCTTTGCTAAAGTCAAGGAACAACATGTCCACCGCTTTCCCCTCATCCACAGAGCCAGTTATCTCGTCATAGAAGGCAATTAGATTAGTCAGGCATGACTTGCCCTTGGTGAATCCATGCTGACTGTTCCTGATCACTTTCCTCTCCTCTAAGTGCTTCAGAATTGATTCCCTGAGGACCTGCTCCATGATTTTTCCAGGGACTGAGGTGAGGCTGACTGGCCTGTAGTTCCCAGGATCCTCCTCCTTCCCTTTTTTAAAGATGGGCACTAGTTGGTAATAGCAGGGGTTTTACCCCTGCTGCTGTTATGGTCTGTCATGGCTGGTTGCCCCATGTTTCACTCTGCCTCTTTGCAACTGGGAAGATGTAGAGGGGGCTTATTTTTGTGGGGGGACACCATCCCCCATCCCATTAACTCTTCCACCAACTGTAAGTTCCTGTGGGTGTGGGTCACCCTTATGAAGATGTAGCTCTTCTTCCACCCTGTGTGGTCTGCGCATCCACACTCATAGCTCATCCACCTTCACCGTCATGGGGGCACTTGGCCTTTGTCCACTGGCTCTGTTGTTGCCCTTCACTCATTAACTTGAGCAGGTTTTGCTGACCAGGTCAATCAGGCTAGAGGCTCATGTGGGCAGGGAGTACCACTTCATGAAGTAGAGCAGCTCACAGCTGCCCTACACACACTCAAGCTTGGGCTTACTTGTAGCCTGATCTATAGATTATGTATTAATTATATTGATTACTTAAGAATCCACAGTTATCACTGTGATGTTGCATTCCATATGCTTTATGAAAATATACTTATGAATATGACATATCTGGAATATGCTTTATGCTAAATACCCCTTATAAGATATCGTTAGAAATCTTATAATCTACTGAATGTGTTCATCCTATTTGTATGCATGTATTATTTCTATGTCTGAAGTTAGAAATATGAGGTATGAACTTGTATCACTTATATAATTATGCAAAGCAAGAGTCATTAAGGATACTTCAGAAATTTGATGACTCTTAAGCAAGAAACCAAAAGCTGTAAATGGCTTTGTTTACCTGCAAGCCTTCCTGTGTAGGTGTGGGCCAGCCCAGGGAAAATGGAGACTGGAGTCTTACAAAAAGAAAAGGAGGACTTGTGGCACCTTAGAGACTAACCAATTTATTTGAGCATGAGCTTTCGTGAGCTACAGCTCACTTCATCACGAAAGCTCATGCTCAAATAAATTGGTTAGTCTCTAAGGTGCCACAAATACGCCTTTTCTTTTGGCGAATACAGACTAACACGGCTGTTACTCTGGAGTCTTACAGAGACATGTGACCATGTCACCTGATACTGGAATCCATCTTAAACCTTGTACTTTTCCATCAGAGGCTGGGGAGGGGGTCAAACTGGGACAAAGGACTCCCGCCTTTGGCCAAATCTATATAAAGGGGTGGAGAAGGACAAAAGACACCCCAAGGGCAGAACAGGGGGTCCGAACCCCTAAGAACAAGCAATGGACTCAAAGGATTGTGTACAATGCTATTGTGTATAATCATGTTGAGTGAGCTCTTTTCTGAAAGCCTGTGATGTTCTCAACTTACTGATCACTGTGCGAGATGGATCCAGGCTGTGCTTAGGGATTTATGTATCGTGTATGTAGAGTCTGGAGCTGGTTCCTAAAGCTTCACCTCCCGCTCCCAGCAGGGTGGTGGCCAGCCAGGCAGGGAGGAGCTGCCTCCCCAGCCAGACAAGACTAACCCCCAGCACCTCGCATTGTACAACCCAGGAGAGACAAATGACGGGTCTGTAGTGTGCAAACGGTGTGGAGTGTGTCCCAAAGTGAACTGAGAACTGGGGGGCTGGCTTCAGGCCTTTGGGGTGAGGAACCAGAGTGGAAAAGTCCCCAGGTCTGGTAGTGAAGAACTCGGGGTAGGTGGATTTGGGGACGCTTGGGACTGGAAGGGCTGGTGGGGTCACCCTGCAGGGATAACGAGGCTGCTGGAAGCCAGGGTGAGACCTTTCTGCCTGTGGGCTGGATGCTGGTGCCAGGGCTCCGAGCCAGAGCCACACAGGATTAAGGGACCCACGGTCACAGGCAGATGGTGACAGACCGCCTGACTGCTCTGGGGGATCCCCAGAATGTCACACCGCGATATCAGAATGCTTCACATCCAGGCTCGTGCTGTGTCTTGTCACTATTCCCTGTATAACATCAATACAGATTAACCCTCTCTTTGCCACCCTCTCAGCTGCAGCCCGTGGCCAGACTCATCCCCACACTGGCACGGCGGCTGGTGCAGGGGGGTGGCTCGTACGCTCAGGGGTGCCTTAACTTGTGCCCTGCCTCAGTGCTTCCTCTGGGCCATTGCAGAGATGTAAGAATGCCCCTGCCATGTCTCCTCCAGCCCCTGGCGCACCCCAGAACACCCCTGATATCCCTCTGTGCTGGGGTCTTGGAGAGGGGGCCTAGGGGCTCTCTGAGGTGGGGGTATTATCCAAGGGGCTGTGTCAATATCTTCTACTGTATCAAAATCTCCAGCTTCCCTGCTTTAACTTCATTCCCCTCCTGTCTATCACAAATGCTGCTGCTATCTGATGAAGTGAGCTGTAGCTCACGAAAGCTCATGCTCAAATAAATTGGTTAGTCTCTAAGGTGCCACAAGTACTCCTTTCCCTCTCCAAGCGCATTCTCTCCTCCTCACTTCCCCTCACTGACTTCTGGCCTGTTACCACGTCCAATCCAACCTCTGTGGGCCTGAGCCCCATTGCCCTGCACCTTGTCACCTACGCCAGTGCAAAGTGGATGTAAAGCGTTGCCCAGCAGGAACGAAAGTGCTTCACACCCCAAAGTACACTGGTGTAATTCACTTCACAAGGGGCCGGGTGACAGGAAATCAGAGTCACTGAGCAGAGTCCAGCCTGTTACATGCGTCATCTCCCTGTATCCTGCTTCCTTGGTTTCAAGTCTCGCTCGCTCTCTGTGGCTCAGTCTTACTGCATTCTCTTTTTATTATATAAGTCCCCAAGACGTGCAGGTGTCTGTTACCGAATCACCAACTGACCCTATGGCTGTAACCTTCCTCCTTCCGTGCCCTTCCTTTCAAGTCCTTCCTTCAAATGGAGCCAAGTTTCAAACTCACACACAACACGGTACCTTGGGGCTCCTAATTCAGCTCGGAGACCCAACGTGTATTCATCCTTCAGGGGCTGCTGGTCCCTGCGGGCTGTACGCCGTCCACCGGAGCTGTGCGGCTTTCACAGAAAAGTCAAACTTTCACATGGTTTCGGATTCTGTCTTACACAGTTAAACTGTTTCCGTTTCACTTTCTATTTGGGGTCAGACCCAGGAGCTGTAGGAGGAGTTACTTGGTCAGTGAATTCCATTGACGGGAAAACACCTTGGAGCTGGTTTACCAGGGTTGTTTTCTCAGATTAGTTCTCAGAAAACGAGAACCCAGGAGACAACCTGGCAAGCGCAGCTCTGTTCATGGTTACTCAGGGGGTGAGTTGTATGGGGGGGGCAGAGGAGGCTGAAGGCTCCGAGGTCAGACCCAGGAAGGTGGAAGCTGTGTGAGCTGTGTGTCCTGAAGACAGGCTGCTCCCAGGAAGGCGACTGCCCCAGAATCCTGCCTGGCTTCATGGGGAGCAGTTCCAGAGCATCGCCCGGGGACTCCGTGACAGATGGACCTTGGGTCTGACCCAGCAGGGCCGTTCCTATGAATAACATTTCAGTTGTTGCCCTTTTTCTTTCTCTTCCACTATGAGCTTATATTAGTTTGGTTAATGTCCAGATACTGAACAGACGATTCCAGTGAATTCGGAAATTGAAAGTACTTACATTGCACTTGTACTTTTCCTTCTAAATACACAAGTAGGATTTCCACAGGACACTTGTCCTTCTAAGGGCACCTGGCACTTACACCTCAGTCCTGCGGACACAGCAGAGAATACAACGGACTCAGTTCGAGATAATTTCAACTGGCACGGACCAGGGATGAGGCTGCATTTGGAGCCCAGGAAGTGATTGTAGGTGTATAGTGGGTTCTTGATTAAAGTTACTGTAATTCACAAAGAAACAGCCCTTCACCATTTGATGTTTCTCCCCTCGAGCTCCCATTCCGTCTCTAGTGTGCGTAATCCTTGCTCACTTGGGGGAAATCATCACTGGGACCCAGACTAGGTCAATCTATCATTGAAGCAGGTGTTACTTAAGGAGCACATAAGCCTTGTATGAGTCCTTTGTGAAGGTGGGAATTTTACCATGCGTTGAATTAGATACAACTTATCTTTATTTAAGGGAGAAAATATTCAGCATGAAATCTAAAGAGTCTATTAAGTCTCAGACTTGAACATAGCTGGTCTGCAAGCAGAACCTTTCCTGGGTGCTTCTGGCACATACAGAATGTAACCATTGATCCAGTAAAGACATTAGCATCCAGGCCCAAAGGATGCAACGGGATATAGATAATACAGTGCCCCGGGTTCTGATTACTGACATTAGAATAGACCATAGCTGTAAAAGTAATGTATAGAGTACCAGAAAACCCTGCCCACACAACCTGGCTGGGTGTGACATCATAACAGCTCAGACATTGCACCTTCACTCTGCACTATGAAAACAAACACCCACATGGACTGTGCTATGTCCACTTCTGGATCCACCAGTGTGTTTCTGTCTAACGCAATCCCCTGGGGGCAGGGCCTGTGCAGTTATCTCTGTTTTCTGTAGCACCCGGCTCTTAACAAATAGCACTAATTACAACTTAGCACAAACAATGAACAGCTCCCAAGTGCATTCATCCACCTCTTCATACCCTACGGGTGCCTTTGAGGTCAATTCCTCAAGTGTCACAGAGCCACAGAAGTAAGGGGACAACGGAGAGGAAGAGACCTGTCAGGCCCCATGTAGTCCACATCCCAAGGGGCCACGCAGGATCGAGCGCGGTTTGTATGTCTCACCCATCCCCGTGGTAGCTGAGCACCTGCCCTGAACAGTAAATGCAAACACTGCTTTTCCCCAGCCCGGCCAGTAGCAACAAACAGAAACTTCTTGTTTTACAAATATAGAAAACATGAGGGTGCGGCTGCGATTGAGGGGCCTCGTCTTGGCCCTCAGAAGCTGGAGCTGGAGCTCCTGGGAGATGAGCTCTCATCCCACAGCCTGCCGGAGGCCTGCTGGGGAAGGAGACTGTCAAGGTTCCTTCCCCACTTTGAACTCTAGGGTACAGATATGGGGACCTGCATGAAAGACCCCTTAAGCTTATTCTTACCAGCTTAGGTTAAAAACTTCCCCAAACAAACTTTGCCTTGTCCTTGAACCGTATGCTGTCACCACCAAGCATTTTAAACAAAGAACGGGGAAAGAGACCACTTGGAGACGCCTTCCCGCAAAATATCCCCCCAAGCTCTACACCCCCTTTCCTGGGGAAGGCTTGATAAGAATCCTCACCAATTTGTACAGGTGAACACAGTCCCAAAGCCTTGGATCTTAAGAACAATAAAAAATTAATTAGGTTCTTAAAAGAAGAATTTTAATTAAAGAAAAAGTAAAAGAATCACCTCTGTAAAATTAGGATGGTAAATACCTTACAGGGTAATCAGATTAAAACATAGAGAATCCCTCTAGGCAAAACCTTAAGTTACAAAAAGACACAAAAAGAGGAATATACATTCCCTCCAGCACAGCTTATTTTACCAGCCATTAAACAAAAGAAAATCTAACACATTTTTAGCTAGCTTACTTACTAACTTAAGGAGTTATGAGGCTGCATTCCTGATCTGTTCCCAGCAAAAGCATCAGACAGACAGACGAACCCTTTGTTCCCCCCCTTTCCAGATTTGAAAGTATCTTGTCTCCTCATTTGTCATTTTGGTCAGGTGCCAGCGAGGTTATCTTAGCTTCTTAAGCCTTTACAGGTGAAAGGGTTTTGTCTCTGGCCAGGAAGGATTTTATAGCACTGTATACAGAAAGGTGGTTACCCCTCCCTTTATATTTATGACAAGCCCCTCAAATTACAGATAGGGTGAAACACTGGCTGTGATTTCTTCCTGGAGCTCTAGAAGAAAACAGAGTTAATAAGACACATGCACCTCTAAATAGACTACCAACTGTATAAAGACTAACAATATTTTCCACATCTCAAGGACGATTTTAACCAGTTGATTTTGGGAAACTTTCACGGGAGAGTGCATCATCCCCTTTGTTAGAAGCTCCTGAGATGTGTTGTATGTTGAAATCAAAATCTTGGAGAGCTAAACTCCACCAAATGAGTTTTTTGTTATTTTCCCGTGGCGGTATGAAGCCACTGTAGCGCAGCATGGTTGGTTTGCAGGTGGAAACGCCGTCCCCAAACGTATGGGCGTAGCTTTTCCAGAGCGTAGATAATGGCGTAACATTCCTTTTCACTGATTGACCAGTGGCTTCCCCTCTCAGACAGCTTCTTGCTGAGAAACACGACAGGATGGAACTTTTGATTCGGTCCTTCCTGCATTAAGACTGCTCCCACACCACGCTCGGACTTATCTGTGGTTACTAGGAACGGTTTGTCAAAGTCTGGGGCCCCTAGCACAGGGTCAGACATGAGTGTCGCTTTAAGCTGGTTAAAGGCCTTCTGACACTCTTCGGTCCACTGAACGGCATTTGGCTGTTTCTTTTTGGTTAGGTCTGTCAGTGGGGCGGCGATTTGGCTGTATTGCGGTACAAATCACCTGTAATATCCGGCCAAACCTAAGAAGGATTGGACCTGTTTTTTTTTACTTTGGGCCCGGCCACTTTTGAATAGCATCCACTTTGGCCTGTAGGGGGTTCATAGTTCCTTGACCCACCTGGTGTCCAAGGTAAGTTACTTTGTTTAGGCCTATTTGACACTTCTTAGCCTTAACAGTTAGTTCTGCCTCTCTTATGTGCTTGAAGACTTTTTGTAGATGTTTTAGGTGTTCTGCCCAGGAATCCAAAAATATGGCCACATCGTCAAGGTAGGCAACTGCATATTCTCCCAATCCCGCTAGAGACCATCTACAAGTCTTTGGAAGGTGGCGGGTGCATTCCGCAGCCCGAAAGGGAGTACATTAAATTCATACAGCCCGACATGGGTGGTGAAGGCTGACCTTCCCCCGGCAGATTCATCTAGCGGTACCTGCCAGTACCCCTTGGTTAAGTCCAAGGTAGAGATGAACTGGGCCCATCCCAGTTTCTCCAATAGTTCATCTGTGCGTGGCATTGGATAGTTGTCTGGGCGAGTTACCGCATTTAGCTTACGGTAGTCCACGCAAAAACGTATCTCCCCATCTGGTTTGGGAACTAGAACCACTGGAGATGCCCATGCACTGCGGGAGGGGCGGATTACACCCATCTGTAACATATCCTGGATCTCCTGTTCTGTAGCAGTTTTAGCTTGAGGAGACACCCGGTAAGGTTGGACTTTAATTGGGTGAGCATTACCTGTGTCAATGGGGTGGTATGTCCGTTCAGTCAGTCCTGAGGTGGCTGAGAACGTCGGCGCGTAGCTAGTGCACAGCTCCTGGATCTGCTGACACTGCATATGCCCAAGGGTCATGGAGAGGTTCACCTCTTCCACGCCACCATCACTGGTGGCGAACCAGCTGAGCAGCGAACAGCACAGCAGCTAACAGAAGGAGTTTGCCTGGGAGTTCACCTGGGGAGAGCCCGCTTAGGCTTACATCTTGCCGGCTTCTCTGAGTAGTTACTACAACTCCTGAGGAAGCTCGTAGAAGGAAGATAATATGGATGGGGGGTGTTCAGCTGTTGTAAACCCCTTTAAAATCCCTCCTGGCCAGAGGAAAAATCCTCTCACCTGTAAAGAGTTAAGAAGGTAAAGGTAACCTCGCTGGCACCTGACCAAAATGACCAATGAGGAGACAAGATACTTTCAAAAGCTGGGAGGAGGGAGAAAAACAAGGCTCTGTCTGTATGCTGCTTTTGCCGGGGACAGAACAGGAATGGAGTCTTAGAACTTTTATCTAGTAATCTAGCTAGGTATGTGTTAGATTATGATTTCTTTAAATGGCTGAGAAAAGAACTGTGCTGAATAGAATGACTATTCCTGTCTGTGTGTCTTTTTTGTAACTTAAGGTTTTGCCTAGAGGGATTCTCTATGTTTTGAATCTAATTACCCTGCAAGGTATCTACCATCCTGATTTTACAGAGGTGATTCCTTTACTTCTATTAAAAGTCTTCTTTTAAGAAAACTAAATGCTTTTTCATTGTTCTAAGATCCAAGGATTTGGGTCTGTGGTCTCCTATGCAAATTGGTGAGGATTTTTACCAAACTTTCCCCAGGAAGTGGGGTGCAAGGGTTGGGAGGATTTTGGAGGGAAAGACGTGTCCAAACTACATTTCCCAGTAAACCCAAATAAAGTTTGGTGGTGGCAGTGGAAATCCAAGGGCAAAGGGTAAAATTAATTTGTACCTTGGGGAAGTTTTAACCTAAGCTGGTAAAAGTAAGCTTAGGAGGTTTTCATGCAGGTCCCCAGCTCTGTACCCTAGAGTTCAGAATGGGGAAGGAACCTTGACAGGGGTGCACAAGACAAACCAGACTCCTGAAAGGGGTGCAGTAGTCTGGAACGGTTGGAGCCACTGGTCTAAAGCAATGGCTCTCAACCTAATTACCACTGTGGGCCGCACGTGCAGCTCTCTCTGTGTTATGTGGGCCACAGCCACACGATATATGCACGACCTGTATGGCCCTGAGGATGTCACATGGGCCGCAGCTGTGTGCTGATTGGGCCACAAGCGGCCCACGGCTTGAGAACCACTGGTCTAAAGCAAGCCTAAGTAACATAAAACCTAGCACCACGGCAAATGAATCACTGCAGCAGCGGCAATCCCGTGTTTTTGAAAAATCATTAACAGGAGAGATCTTAAGACTGGATGTGAGAATGAGCCATCCCAGAGCAGGGAGGTCGGGATTTTCAGAAGAGCTCGGAAACGGGGTCCTGGGCACTTCGGAAAAACTGTCCCCTGTCCCCCTGACTGTCCCCTCGAGCAGGGGGTTGGACTAGATGACCTTCTGGGGTCCCTTCCAACCCTTATATTCTATGATTCTATGATTAGGTGCCGAGTGCTTTTGGAAACCTGACCCCAGCGACAAGTGGTGAGCATGTGAAAAATCCAGCCCTAAGGAAGGGCAAACACAACAGGTACTTCCTTCCCAGCTGGGAGAGAGAAAGACGGAGCCAACGGCTACTAGCTGGAAAAAAGGCATTTATGGCTCAGGTGAGTTTGAATTGCCAGCTCCAGAAAGGCATCCTGGGAACAAAGCTTCTATAAAAGGGCTACTGGGTGCTAGGGGAAGTTAACAGGAGCCGAGGCAGGAGACTTGCTTTGGTGGTGAAAGAATGCAAATGAAGCACTAATTGCCCAAAGAGGAACTAGTGAGCCGACAATTCTTGCCTTGTCAATGTTGCCTCTGTACCTAGTAACACAACAGAACGAGCGCGGGGGGGGGGGGGGGGATTCCACTCCAGCAATGGAAACACGAGCAACGAGCAGCACCGTGGTCCCAGGACAAACAGCGCCAAACCAGAGAGGTGCATTTCATTTCATTTGTTTCATTTCTAACCTTTTATTAGTTTCTAGATTAGGAAAAAGAATGAAAATATAAATACACATGGACCTTGCTCTACGGCAATCTAAGGGCGTCTCTGGAGAAATTCTTACACATCCGGTCCCCAGTGAAGAGCAGGCCCCAGGCCACAGCAATAATAATACTTAGTCTTCCGGCCACGTGCTCTACAGTCTCTTCTAAGCACTGTTCAAACAGCCGGTGATTAGCTACCCTCACAACACCCCTGTGAGGTAGGCGCAGTAAGTATTATTATCCCCATTTTACAGATGGAGGAACTGAGACTGAGAGCTTAAGTCCAGAGCCAGGATTAGACCTCAGGAGCCCTGGATTCCAGGAGTTCCCAAAGGCTAGGCAGCAGTTCTCAAACTATGGGGTGGGCCGCCCAAGGGAGGCACAAGCTGTGAGCTTTTTTTTGTTTTTTTTAATAAGAGCTGGGGCTGACAGCCCCAGGTGGCTGGGGCTTGTGCAGAAGGGCCGTGCACGCCCGGGAGGTGCGGAGCCACCCAGGCCCGGGCTCTCCCCAATCCCTCCCCAGGAAGCAGCCTGGACTTGGGCACTCCTTGTCCCCGACCCCCATCCCTCACCTGGAGGTGGCGGGGCTCCATCTGTCAGCCCCAGGGGGGCGGCAGCAGAAGAAAGGATGGCACTGGGGCGCTAAGTCTGCTGTGAAAAGTCACTTTCCACATTGCCACTCTTACTTCTGTGCTTCAGAGCTGGGTAGTGATATATGTACCTGGGGGGCGGTGGGGGGGAGGCACAAACAACCACAGACACAAAGAAGGCGGGCCCAATCAAATAAGTTTGAGAACCACTGCTCTAGGCTACACAACCTCTCAGCACAATGACCCTATTGTCACAATAAGAATCGTCAGAGGGGAAGATTTTTGCATAAGAATTATAAATACCATCAGTGGGCCCTGTCCTGACCCCAAGGGGAATTTTCCCATTTGACACCGGAAAGCCCAGGATTGGAGCCCAATAACCAATGGCAGGAGAGTAATTTTACATACAAATACATTTGCAGAATATACACCACACACACCGATTAATTTGCTATCTATTGCTAGCAAGGTCATGCAGAAGAGGTCAGTGAAGAATTCTGTCCAAACAGCCCAAAAGGAAGTTACAAATAAATGAGTCAATAGGCAACAAAATAACCATATTAGTAAAGAACCAGCCACTCCCTTTATAAATCTGACAGGGCCAGACCCACAGCTCCTGCCTGGTTTATTGTCATCCAACCTCTCTTCAAACTCTGAGTCACAGATGAGATTCTAGCAGCCAAAACTCCTTTAGCGGTGGCAGCATCTGCAAAGAGGAGTTTCACCCCTTGCTAACTCGTCCTCAGTTTAGCTGGGTGAATAACTTTGAAGGCATTTGTGGGGTACCCTGAGCTGGGACCAGAGGAAATTCCTTTCACAAGGGAGATGGGAACAAGCTGCTTCCTAGCAAATTATTTCAGAGACTTTAACTATTGGACCCCGGCTCTCAGCACCCGCTAGAAAAGAAGGGTCCTGAAAATATGATTTAGTGAGGGGTGAAATTCACCCTGTGCAGAGGAGCCTGTGACGGGGCAGCGGCCCCTCACTGGCTGGCAAAGGGTTAACAGCAGCCCTTGGAGTGGCTGTGCAGAACCCAGCCAACCAGAGGAAGGCTTAGAAGCAGCCAATCAGGGCCAGGCTGGGTCCTATAAGAAGGGCTGCAGGGCAGCGAGGAGCTCAGTCTCTCCTGGAGCTTGAGGGAGGAGGCCTGGCTGCCCGCAGAGAGAAGTGCGTGCGACAGAGCCGTGCTGGGCAGGGTCGGGGGAGCAAGTGGCGCTCCAGCCCGGCTGGCTCCCAGACTGCGTCCTTGACACAGGGGCCGAGTAGGTGCTGGGGCTATGGAGAAGTGGCCCAGGGAAAGCAGGTAGCGGCAGAGGGGAAGGAGAGGCCATGAGCAGCTGCCAGCGAGAGGGTCCGTGGGTTGGGGCCCAGAGTAGTGGGCAGGCCTGGGCGCCCCCTTTTGCCCCACTGGCCGCTGAGGGAAGTGGCCAGCCAAAGGACTGCAGTTTGCCCCTGAGCAAGGGGCTGGACTAGGCGCTCTAGTCCATTGCGGCGAGAAGCTGGGCGAAGGACTGCGGGATCCCTGGAAGCGGGGAGACAACGGAGTTGGGGCACAGCCGGAGGGCCGTGCCCTGAAGAGGACGCCACAGTCCGGGAGTCCCAGACAGCGGAGACGGTGGAGAAGCAGTGACAGAGAGTGAGACACTACAAGAGGAGGGTGCCCTGCTGGACAGAGCGAATTCCCATAGCAACCGGTAGGAGGCACCGTGGGTGGTGAGCACAACCCGATACAGAGCCAGACCAGGCCTAGACACCACTTCAGCCCTATAGAAATCCCCCTTGTTCTCCTTTCCCCCATGGGGGATTTTGGTCTCCTGGACCAACGCACCAATCATTCCACCCTGACTCCGGCCAGTCCCTTTGGCTGCCATTTTCCCCCAGTCACTCACTTGGCCCAAACCAACGCCCTTCACACGGTGTCTGTAAATCACAAGTTGACGTGAAATGGCTGGATCGTGAAATGTTCGCATAGCGCCTGCCCCCCGGGGCTCCTTTAACAACAGAGGGATTTGGGTTTGGGGGTGGGGGAAGAGTGGACCCAACAGGGGACTCTGTCTCCACATCCCATCCCCTCCTCCTCGTTGTGGTTCTCGGTCAGTTCTTCATCCGGAACCTGGCAGACCAACCCCACGGACGCTCCGTTTTCTCAAGCACTCCAGCCCCGAGCCCGTCTCGGCCATGGTGGGAAAAGCGCAGCACAGGCTGGAGCAGGGAGAGCCAGGGTGTCTTCGTTCCCGCCCCCAGAAGGCGCCTGGGGCAGGGAGCAGCAGAAGGCAGTGCCCGGATTGCTTGTTCGGACAGTTAGCGGGTGGAGGGAAAGCGCGAGATAAGACACACTTGGTTGTGAGTAAAGCACTTGACAGAGCATCTCATCAAAACGTACTGTCCCGGCTGACCCAGCGTCAGCAGAGACCATCCCACGGACTGAACGCTGGCTGCAGACGTGTTAGCCAAGAGTAATAACAACAGGCCACGGGACGGAGCTGGGAGCAGGTGCTCAGCGGGTGCCACGGCTGTGTTACTGGGAGCTCCTGATTTATGCCATTTCTTCACAAATCACCTAGCAGAGGCAGTAAGAGCATGTTATTAGGGAAGCAGCATCTGCCCTGCAGAGAGTCAGTGGGAAGGAAAGAATCCAGGAAGCAGGAAACACTGATCGGGACCTGGGGGAAGACAGTGGACAGCAGCAGATTAGACAGGAGCTTCCAGTCCATCCTGGCACCTGAAAAGGCCAATACACAGAGGCTTTGTGTAACGGAGCAAAGGGGTGACAGCCCCCATCTCTCTGCCTTGGGATAACCCCACTGGAGACGGCATGCTGTTCAGGGCTCCTCAGGAGAGCTGGAAAAATACCGATGGCCCGTTCAGAGAACAGCCACAATGTGATCTGGGGGCACAAGGGATTGACTGGTGAGGAATGAGCAAAAGAGACAAGTAGGTCCAGCTTCACTGAGCAGTGACCTGACGGGACCCGATAACAATCCGGGGGAAACACGGGGGGGCGGGCACGGGAGAGAGAATTTTACAGTAGTTCAAGGTGGGGATGACTGGACGAAATCAAGGATTAAAGCTGAATGTCAGAAAAAAACTTCCTAAGGGGGAGACGTTTCAGGCTGTGGAACCACCCCCCCAGAGAGGTGACACCCCAGAGTTTGGGACACGTACAGTTAGACGGACCAAGCACTGGAGGGAACAGGCGTGCAGTGCCAGGGAGAAGTACTAGAGTTTATTAGAAGACTTATTAGTTCTTTTCCAAATCTAACAACTAGGATTCTAGGCTATCCACACGGAGAACGACAAATTTTAACGTTAAAATGACCCTTTGCCTAACTACAAACTAGCAACTAAACCCAAGTCCCTTTCACACAAGATGAGAAGTAGTCAGTGTCTATTAGACTGTGCACGGACCTCACAAGGGAGCGAGGGGCGACCCATCGCTGGAGAGGGTTAACAGGCTGGACATATTCCTAGAAAATACAGAGTAGAGCCCGACCCTGCATTGGCTAGGAATGGGCAAAATGACCAATCGGTCTTTTCCAGCTCTAACCAGTCTCTGTCACTGGAGGGTTTTAAGAGCAGGTTGGACAAACACCTGCCAGGGATGGTCTAGATAATACTTAGTCCTGCCGGGAGTGCAGGGGACGGGACTAGACGACCTCCCGAGGTCCCTCCCAGCCCTAGGACTCTGTGAATCTCTGTCAGATCTCTAGGTGGTCTCAGTGAGATGGTCACTTCTCAGGTCAGGGATCAGGCCGTACGCAGTTGTGAAGCCCGGCGCACACTCCTGGTGGGTAAATAGTCAGTAAGAGAACAGAGAGGAAAGAGCACTACAGTAATTATTGCTCCAGGGCATTGCACCTGGAGTCCTCAAGTCCACACTCGACTGAGGTTTTCTTTCATTTCCCAGACTGTCACCGGCCCGGCTGGAACAGGCGCTGTCCGTCAGGTCTGTCCAGTAGCTCCACTGAGGAGCTGCTGGCATAAGCCATAACTACAGCGCAGTAGCAAAGTCTCGCCCGCCCCACAGTACCCACTGGGCCTGACCTAACAACAACACACGGCACAGCACCCCCCGCCCTGAGAAACCACTGGTCTTCGCCAGAACTATCCCAATGAGCACGACGCTCCCGTGTTTGCTCCACACAGGAACGGGCAGGAGAGTCCTGCTAGCACCCTCCGCTCCTTTCAGTAGTAAGATGAAGACCCCACATCGGTCAACCCGGGCCATGTCATTCCCAACGCCCTCCAAGCGCTGCTCCATAAGCCAGATCCCTTCCCAGAAATCTCCCGTCCCTCCTGCCAGACGTTCTCTAGCACCTCTGGGGGTTACGTCCAACCCAGCAAATGGGATTAGTACTACAGCGTTGGCATCCTTCAGGGCAAGACTCGGGCCCTTGTTTTCATTGGAATTCGAGCTGCGTTGTGCAGGGAATGTGCAGTTGTGTTTTCCTTAGGGATGCACGGTTGGTTCGTCAGCGCAGGCCTTCAGCCTGGGAGCTCCTTGTGCCAGGGAGCCTGTTATTTCATCAGCACCACGGCATGTCCAAATCCTAAATTACAGCATTGCTCCTCCTCTGCTCCTGCTCAGGGGACGTAGCATGTCTGTAACTCCCTCCTTATGTACACTGCGTTAAGGCTTCCAGAGGCATTTGGCTTGGGGCACAGACAGTAGAAGCGGGTGCATCTGGAGGAAGGGGTTGAACGACTCCCCGTCTCCGTAGCAGGACAAGAGTCTCTCCTCCGTGTGGACGGCCTGGTGCACCGTCAGCTCCTTCTTGTGGCTGAAGATCTTCCCGCACTCGGTGCAGGGGTAGACCCGCTCCACCGTGTGGGTGAGGTGGTGGGTCCGCAGGTTGCCCTTGTACTTGAAGCTCTTGCCACACTCCACGCAGGTGAAGGGCCGCTCCCCCGTGTGGATCCGCTTGTGCTTCATCAGCGTGGTCTTCAGGTTGAAGGTCTTGCCGCACTCGGCGCAGACGAAGGGCGCTCCCCCGGTGTGGATGCGCTGGTGGGTGATAAGGGTGCCCTTGCGGTTGAAGCTCTTGCCGCACTCGGTGCAGGTGAAGGGCTTCTCCCCGGTGTGGATGCGCTGGTGCTTGATCAGCTCCCCGTTGTGGCTGAAGCACTTGCCGCAGTCGGCGCAGGCGAAGGGCCGCTCCCCGGTGTGGATGCGCTGGTGCCGGGTCAGATCCCCGTTGCGGCTGAAGCTCTTGCCGCATTCGGAGCAGCCAAAGGGCCGGTCCCCGATGTGGATCTTCTGGTGCAGGATGAAGGTCTTCTTGGCGCAGAAGCCCTTGCCGCACTCGGCGCAGACGAAGGGGCGCTCCCCGCGGTGGATCTTCTGGTGGGTGATGAAGTTGGCCTTGCGGTTGAAGCACTTGCCGCACTCGGTGCAGGAGAAGGGCTTCTCCCCGGTGTGGATGCGCTGGTGCAGGATGAAGGTCTGCTTGGAGCAGAAGCTCTTCCCACACACGTTGCATTCGAAGGGCTTCTCGCCCGTGTGGATGCGCTGGTGCCGCATCAGGTCGCCCTTCTGGCTGAAGCTCTTGCCGCACTCGGTGCAGGTGAAGGGCTTCTCGCCCGTGTGCACCCGCAGGTGAGTGATGAGGTTTCCCCGGTGCTGGAAGCTCTTCCCGCACTCGGTGCACGTGAACGGCCGCTCGGCAGCGTGGGCTCGCGGGCGTTTCACCGGCTCGGTGCTGGTGGCCACAGCCCCCCTGCGGTCAGAGGCCGAAAGGGATTTCTGGCTGGGGTTGCTTGTCGGGGCCGTTGGCACCTTTCCCTTGGGCTCAGGGGTTGTCTGCGGCCCCTCCACAGTCACTGTGGGTCTCTGGAGCGCCATGATGTTTCCCTGGGCGTGTTGCACTTTCCAGTGATTAATGCTGGGTTCTGTCCTGAGCAAGCCCGGGGAAGCAGCCTCTAAGCCTCTCATCAGCAAAGCCTTGTTTGGTTTCACATCCTCTGGCTCTTCCCCAGGGTGCTTCTGCTCGCTGGCACCCCTGCTCCCATCACCTGCTGGGGAAAAGAGAGGCCAGATGTTATTCCGTGTGCCGGGGACAGGGGAATTCCCAGCGTTGAACGCAGAATACAGCTAAGTGCCAGGGCCGAGACGCTCGGTGGCACCCCCGTTTGTACAGAGACGCAGGCTCTAATGCCTTGCACCCTCTGAGCTCGCCGACCGAGAAAGCAGCTGCTCCCAGGCACTGCTCACCGGCGGAAGGTCCCATGGGTGCTGGGCAGCATTCCCAAGAGCCGTAACTTCCAGAGACACAAGTGGCAGCGAGCGGCACTGACTGTCGGCAGCAGGTGGGCACCTCGCTCCCATTTGTACCTTGGAAAATCAACCTTTCTGAGACGTGCTGGGCTGGGTCACCGCCGCCCGGCATCACCTCCCACAGCCATGAGAACGTCACCGTGGGACAGAGGCAGCGACGGGCAATTTTCTTATTCGTCTTAGGCCGTGTCTGAACCTACACGCTTCTCGCAGTACAGCAGCACGGATACAACTGTGAGCGCGCTCGCGGGGCCGCGGGACGCCCGGGGGGGGGGAGAGGCGCGGAGAGCTCGCGGGGCCGCGGGACGCCCACGGGGGGGGGCGGAGAGCTCGCGGGGCTGCGGGACGCCCACGGGGGGGGGGCGGAGAGCTCGCGGGGCCGCGGGACGCCCACGGGGGGGAGGGGCGCAGAGAGCTCGCGGGGCCGCGGGACGCCCACGGGGGGGGGCGGAGAGCTCGCAGGGCCGCGGGACGCCCACGGGGGGGGGCGGAGAGCTCGCGGGGCCGCGGGACGCCTGGGGGAGGGAGGGGAGAGCTCGCGGGGCCGCGGGACGCCCACGGGGGGGAGGGGCGCGGAGAGCTCGCGCGGCCGCGGGACGCCCACGGGGGGGAGGGGCGCGGAGAGCTCGCAGGGCCGCGGGACGCCCGGGGGGGGGAGGGGAGAGCTCGCGGGGCCGCGGGACGCCCGGGGAGGGGGGAAGGGGAGAGCTCGCGGGGCCACGGGACACCCACGGGGAGGGGGGGAGGGGAGAGCTCGCGGGGCCGCGGGACGCCCGGGGGGGGGAGGGGAGAGCTCGCGGGGCCGCGGGACGCCCACGGGGAGGGGGGGAGAGCTCGCCTGTCGACGTAATGAAAGCAGCTCAGTGGCGGGCGGTAGCGGGAGAGCGTCTCCCACCAGCACAGCACTGTGCAAACTAGCACGTATGCCAGCGAGACTTGTGTCGCTCGGGGGGGGGGGGGTTCCCACACTCCTGAGCGGGACGCATTTTGCTGCCGTAGCCCCAGTGCCGACGAGGCCTCACTTCAGTCCCCGTCCCTGCTGCACAACCCAGCACCCCACTGAAGCCAGAGGCAGCTAGAAAGACTCAAAGCGTCAATAAGACGAAAGAGAAACATCAGAGACCCAGGTGTTGCTATTTTTAACGTTTCCAGGCTCCTTTCTAGGCCGAAGATGCCTGGGCACGGTCAGGGCAGGCTTGGATCTTTGCTGGCTTGTGTGACACGGACCCTCTCGGTCCCCTGAGGCTGCCTGTCAGGAAGGGCCGCACTGGCTCACGCTGCGAGGCGCCCCCCCCCGCTATCAACAAAACGGCACCTAGGTCCCCCCTGGCTTTACATCCTGCTGGCAGGACTCGCTGCTTTACGAGCTTGGGAAGGAGGCCAGGGAGCCGGTGGAGGGCAGCCCTGTCACCCTCTGACCCGGGAACCCCGCTGGAGGCCAGGCCATCGCACTCGCACGAGGCAGTGGAGGCTGGAGGAATTTCTCTTGGCTTCTCGTGGGTCACAGCCAAGGCCGGCTCCCCCCACCGGGTCAGCATCGCAGCCAAAAGAGGTGCACACAGCCAGAGGCCCTCGGGTAATGTTCACAAGATCTCTCTTGTCGCGAGTCAGAGAGCACTCAGCAGGCACAGAGCAGTCCCAGGGCCCGGCTCCGGGAGACCTGCCTCCTGCCTTGACAGGGCAGTTCAGGCCTCCAGACAGCACTGCAGTGAACAGAATGTCGGCTGACGCTTAAAAAGCAATCTCTTAACGCTAGCGTCCCCAGCTAACTGGGGCTTAGCCTCCGGCCCCCTTGCAGAGGGACCGTCTCTCACTCGCGAGGGCAGAGAGATTTGCAGTTCTGGGCTCCACTGCACCCAGTGGCTACACAGGGTCCATGTGCTAGGAGCCCAGGGATTTGGAGCAATCAAATTTTTGAATTGCTCTGCTCCAGCTCCGCTCCGGCACCACTCCGCGCTCCGACTCAAATTAATTTTTAACTAAATAAAAAAAGTGCATACTGTCATTTTGAAAAAACATTTTTATTCAGACTTTTAAAACAATTTAAATGTCATCAACAATGATATAAACTAGAATGATTCATGATTCATTCTGTAAAAAATTATTGCAGCAATCACGTCGTCTTTCACAGTCTGCCGCAAATCATTTAAAATTAACTTTAAAGCCGAAAACAGTCGCTCTACACTGGCTTGAGTTGTCGGCATGCTCGAAGCAATTCAACAGGCAGCCTGAATGTGGTGTGGGTAGCTGTGAATGGCCTCAAAAACAGACTTCACTTTCAGCCTACCAATGGACTCCGTCGCCTCACAATCTTCCCGAACATTTCTCTCGAATAATGCTTCCTTACAATTATGAATCGCAGAAACTCGCCGGTGTCTTTCTTGTTTATCCAATTCCTTTTCGAAGGCGTCTTCTTCTGAAGACAGGTTTCAGAGGAACAGCCGTGTTAGTCTGTATTCGCAAAAAGAAAAGGAGTACTTGTGGCACTTTAGAGACTAACCAATTTATTTGAGCATGAGCTTTCATGAGCTACACATCTGATGAAGTGAGCTGTAGCTCACGAAAGCTCATGCTCAAATAAATTGGTTAGTCTCTAAGGTGCCACAAGTACTCCTTTTCTTCTGAAGAATTGGTGCTTGAATTATCTCCATTTCCCTGTGATGGCTGAAGACGTCTCAGGGATGGACGCTCGAACAAGTTCAGAGTGGAGACAGACGTTTGAGAACAGCCTGCTATTTCTGAAGGATGTGAACTTTCCGAAACCGCAAATTTGACGGTTGAGGACCCCTTTTGTTGTGTTTTGTTTTCTTCAACCTCTTTCGCCGAGTTCAAATGTAGCAACAGATTTTGTTTTTCGAGTCGTCGAGCAATATCAAGGAGCCCTTCCTTTGCCTTCGGTATTTCCCTTGAGGTAAGAAGAATCTGATACCATGGGTCAACATAAACTCCAGCAAGGAAATGAATATTGTCAAAAAGCTTCTCTTTGCGTTTCTGCATGGAGGATAGAATTCCTTCTGCAATTTGTCCACCATTTTCTTCCAAGAATTTTGACAGTTTTCGCCATTCCTTCATTAAAACTCCTAGGGTTACATCGACGGCTTGAAGGTTCACGGTTGTTTGGTTTGGCTTTGCCAAGAGGTCTCGCAGGTTCTTCACTTCGTCCCATTCAGCTTTTGTTAACTTGAGTTCTCTTGTTCCAGCAGCAGCCGCCACTTGTTCACAGTAAGATTGAAAAACGAGAAGCCGATCAATCATCGCAAATGTTGAACCCCAGTGAGTCACAGTATCCAATGATTGAGTTACCCCATGTAGATCAAGCAGAACACTTTGAATAGTTGGGGTTCATAGTTTGACAACAACTTGTCGAATTTTTGCCAGAAATTTCTTTGCATGTTGTTTGTTCAGTCCACCCCAGATTGCCAACTGAAGAGTGTGAATACCACACCTCATCAGTTGGACTTTTGAGTCGTCCTCATGAAGCCATGTTGGAAGTATGAGGCTAGGGTCATTAACCCATTGCGCAGCAGCATCCATGTTGAGTTCGATTTCAGACATTCCTTTAGTGCCTTCATCAGGCAAAATAGCTTCAGTTCTGTCCACATCCCTGGTCTCAGAGGTAGAGATGGTTTCATTGTCCTCGCTGAAATTTTTGACGGCACACATCATGTTTGCTGCTTTGTCAACGCAGATGCTCAGCACTTGCATTTCACTGATCCCCAATTTTTCTAAAATAGCTTTTACTTGACTTTTCACGTACGAAGAATTGTGATGCCCTTCAGTGTCGATTATGTCCAAGGTTTTTACCACAGCTTTATCTTTTCCTTCTTCATAGTACTGAGCACTGATTGCAAGGAAATGTCTGTTTCCATGGGTTGCTGCATCTATTTTCAGGTAGCACAATTTTTGCTCCAAAGCTTTCTTGAGCTCTTTGCGACCAGACTCAGCTGTGCTGACAACTAAACGACGAACCGCATCGTGCCCCGTCAAAACGCCAAGCTGCCAACCCATTTCACCTGTAATTTTTTGGAATCCTTTGTTCTTTAGCCTGAAGGTAGTGAGCGGTGTTGAACTCAAGCAAACCATTTCCATCAGCCCTTCATGGAAAGTATTGGCATCCATGATGACTGTAACCTTTGAGGACTTCAAATATGAGTCAAGTTTTGTTTGCTCAATTTTGGGTTTCTTTTCAGATGAAGCTCCGCAAAAAATCTTTTCTCCAGGAGTTTTCAAAGAGCCAGATGAACGTTGTTTCGCCGCATCAGCTTTCTGTTTTGCCTCATCTTCCTGGTCCTTTTTTGTAACCAGAGCCGCATAGTTTTCAGGATGGTTACGTTTTACATGCCGCCAAAAGCTGAAACTTTTCACGGCACTTGCCTCACTTGTCTTGAAGCTACATGGTTTGAGCTCGCCATTTACTTCCTTTTCCACCTTGCACGTTGCTGATTTCTTCTTTGCTTTTCGCAAAAGCCCAGATTTGGGGTTTTCAAATTCAAAAGTAAAGACGTTGTTGAGATCCTTTTCCGTAAATCGGCTATCAATCATGGGGGGCAGATTTGATTTTTTTGTTGAAGCCCTGGCCAAATCTTCTTGTGCTGCTACCGCAGCCAAAGGTTTCTTGTTACGATCTTCGAAAAGCAATGAACAAAAGCATTACACTTTTTTATAATGTACCTGCTTGTGATATCTTAACCACTTAAGGTACTTTGAATTTATTTTGGATTTTCTGGACAAAAATGATCGCATTTTCTTTTTTACACAAAATTATTAAAGTATATTTTAATATTTTAACATGTTTCTCACAGTTCTAATGAAGTATTTTTAATATACATAATTAATTAAAATTTTTATTTATAAATTGCAAGTTAGTTTTTCTTATGAAATTTGCGGTAAAAATATTTGAAATATTTTCCAAGTTTTTAATTAATATCTCAAAAACACTTTAATACAGATATAGCCATGAAATGTGGTACGTGCCGTAGCATTAGTACGTGCTATCGTTCTTCTACAACATTCATTGCTGGGAAGTAATGAGGCTACATGTTACAAGGCTGAAAATAAACTTTAACGGGAAACAGATTTCGGAGTAGTAGCCGTGTTAGTCTGTATTCACAAAAAGAAAAGGAGGACTTGTGGCACCTTAGAGACTAACCAATTTATTTGAGCATAAGCTTTCGTGAGCTACAGCTCACTTCATCGGATGCATACTGTGGAAAATACAGCGTCCGATGAAGTGAGCTGTAGCTCACGAAAGCTTGTGCTCAAATAAATTGGTTAGTCTCTGAGGTGCCACAAGTCGTCCTCTTCTTTTAACGGGAAAGTGGATTCAAATTTAAAGCACAGTCCTTTTTGTAAAGAGAGGAAATTTTTGGAAATATGTTTTTGCTTCATCAGCCTGAATAGATTATACAAGAGAGAGCAAATAACAGGTTCTATCTTGTATAATGTTTCCAGCCTGATGAAGGAAAAACATTTCCGAAAATTTCCTCTCTTTACTAAAAGGACGGTGCTTGCAATTTGAATCCGCTTTCCCGTTAAAGTGGATTTCCAGCGTTCTATCATACAACAGCATTCAAATAAAATTATTTAAACCACAGGCATCATGAACTGGGGGGACTGGGCCAATTTTATTTAATATTTTATTAAATCTTCGACTATTTAACAGATACGAACCTGGAATATGATTTAATGCTAAAACATGCATTGAAACCGTACTCAATTTATTTTGTTTAATTAAAATTTTTAAACAGTTTTCTCAAACGGTTAATCTGCTTAGAATGATACAAACAATTTTATTATTACTTATTTTTCAACTTTGGAAACATACATTTTCAACGTAATAATAAATAATAACCAAAAATTATTAACATATTATGGAACATAATATTACCACTCGTAGCCAGGGGCAGTCGATGACAAGCCTTTCTTGAAATATGAAATAAAAATGACCAAACGCCAGTTCGGGACACCTATGGTTTAAATGATTTTGGATAATGTAATATGGTAGCACATACTAACACTAAGACACAGACATAATTTCATTACTTTATATTAAAGCGTTTTTGAGATATTAATCAGAAATTAACTTTTCATCACCTCCTTGAAGGGACTATAGCTCCCTTAGGAAGAATTTTAGGACACTTGCACAGAAATGTTTTTTCTTAAAATGACCTAAGGATTCACCCCCGAAGTTGTGCTGGACATTTTCCAATCACTCTGGATATATCACAAAAATCACTCCTAATTTATGCAAAAATGTTTATTGTATATTTATATGCCTGCTGCACACGACTTTTTCAGTAAATTTAAAATTACAAACGCTACCAAAAGACCGTTGAAGAGATGACATATAAAATAAGTCCGCCAGAGTGATACGGTAGCACGTACAAATGTACCGGTAATGGGAGCCCGTGTGAGAAATGAGCTCAAGTGGTTAACATCTCTTGCAATATCTAAATATATCAATAAACAGAAACTTTTTTTTTGCAATATACCTGTTTGCGATATCTTAAATGTTGCGTCGTGTCACACTTTTCCGTAATTGCAGCACTCAGCGCGTCTCGTTGATCAACCCTTACAAAAGAAGTATCAACACACACTAATCTACGCGAGTACGTACTCGCCTAACCTTGGCACAAGGGTGGGAGCAGTCTGCAGTGTTGCCGGATGTCTGATAACTATCTCCAAAAAACTTGGTAATTTTGTATCCGTACATTAAATCTTGATTTCGGCCGACGTGAGAAGAACTGTGACATATTACGTAAAGTGGTAACGGAGATGTTAATATCAATTGTTTTACAATCTGAAACTTTTTGGCACCTTAAGGACTTTCTTGCTAAATATCACTCATTTTGGAGTGAAAATGAAAAAAACAAACTGGAGCAGTGGAGCAGTCAAGATTTTCTGTGCTCCGGCTCCGCTCCCACTCCGGGCAAAAACCTGCAGCTCCACTGCTCCGCGCTCCAGCTCCGAGCTCCGCCCCAAAGCCCCGCAAGAGCCGGCACAATACAGCCAGCCTGGCTCACTAATTTCATACAGGGCCTCCCTGAGTTTCCAGCTCTCCCTGTCCCTCTTATCCGGGGGGCTCAGCATGGCTCACCTGGGCTGGGGTAGCCAGGAATTCCACCTTCGCTCAGGCCCTGGGGATACCCAATGGCTGACTCATCGTCTGGCTCCACTTTCACGATAAGCTCCGGGTTTGCGTCACCTGTTCACAGGAAAGAAAAAGCCTCACCCAGTGTTTCCTGTGGTCACTCAGGGCTGGGGAGGGTGACCTTGCAAAGTAGCTTTAAATTGGCTTTTGATTGCCCCTGGGAACGCTGGCTGGGGTGTGTCTGTCTGTGTGTCATTCTGCAGTCTGTGGCAGACACAGCAAGAGGCCTCAGATCTCCTGTCCCTGCCTGTGAATATATCCACAGGGCCCCCTGTCCTGTCCTCCTCCCACTGACTACAGTCTGCCCCCAATCCCTCACACGCACCCCTGGCAGTAGGGTGCCCCAGCTTCTGGCGACTCCTGTAGGCGAACCAGGAAGCCAGACACGAGCTGTGTGTGCCAGGATCTGGCACAGCCAGGGGCCCACCTTGAGGAATCTACAGGCGGGTCCCTGAGTTTCCAGCTCTTCCCCTCACACCTGCCCCCAGAGACCGTCCCGGTGGATCCCAGCACCACTCACAGAAGGGGTCGTCGGGACCGTCTCCTTCACAGTAATGCTGGCCACACTCGCCGTAGGAGTCGTCCTCGGGCTCCGTTTTGACGATGATCTCTGCTTTGATACCTGCGGAAAGCAAAGCACGTTGCACGTTCCCTACGCCCACGGCACGGCTGCGAGGGAGAGACTAGCTCCAGGGCAGCGTTCGGATCCCGCTGAGCTGTTCTCCCATGGTCAGCGGCGTTCATTCCTAGGGAGCTCTTCCCCACAGCGCATTCATCCCTCAGGCATGCCAGGGAGGTCTTATCCCCGGTTAGCTGGCAGGGAGCTGAAGCACCAAGGGACCTGTCACCAGCCAGAACCCAGATCCCCTAACCCCCGGCCACCCTGCCGGGGCCAGTTACACTCGGGGTGGGGTGGGGCAGGGCAGTGGGGGAAACGCGGCCACCTGTTCATCGTGTCACTTCCTGGCAGGGATTCAGCCAGTGCCCATGGCGCCGAGGGACCTGCTGCCCCCCAACGCCCCCCTCGTTGGTTTGCTGCTGCGCTGCAGGAGCCAGCCCCAGGCCCAACGCCCGGCCAGCACGCTCGCGCCGTGGGGACACAAGGAGACTCCTCGGCATCCTCCCATCGCGAGGCCAGAGACGCCCAGAGGCACTGATTCGGGCAGCCGCAGGCTGCAGTCCACCATGCCCGCTGCCCCAGGCAGAGTCACCCAGCTGGCCCATTGCTGCCATGCAGGGAGCCAGACCGGCTCCAGCTAAAGCCGCCCCCAGCACCGGGACAGGCCGACCCCATTGCCCAGCCGGCTCAGTGGGGGCCGCCCTGCACGCCCTGGGGGGGGTAGGGCCAGTGGGACGGGGCTAACTGGGCTCCCGGGCAGAGCTGGCTCACCCACACCGCGAGAGGGGGAAGTGCCTGTGGTTCTAAGCCTTCTCTGAAGACATTGCCCAACTCCTAACCGCCTGATCCCCTCCCTGCAGCCCTTCCCCGTGCTGGTCTCCTCAGCTCCTCCCTGGATCCAGACTGTGAGCGCTGGAGGGCAGGGCCTGGCCTTGCCTGGCTGGGAGGTGTCTGCACCTCCTGTTCCAGGGCGGGTGTAGGGGGGCCGGGCGCAGCCAGCCCTGATCAGCCTTTCGCCGGGGTGGGCCCTGGTGCAGAGACAGCCCTGGAGGACGGAGCAGACAATCTCCAGCGTAAGGACAATAAAACGCTGCTCTTGGTGGTCGTCTTCATTGGCTTCTGGCCACTGGGGCTGCGACCATCCCCTGTGGGGAGGCTGCCCTCCAGGGGCTGGCTCGTTCCCCGGAGCATGGGGCAGGACCAGCGAGTGATTAAGGCCCTGCTCTGGGTCCCACAGAGGTCTCTCATACAAGGCTCCGGGGGTCCCCTTGCCTCTCCCAGCTATTCGACGTGTACAGCGGCCGGGGAGGGGGGCGCAGACGATACGGAGCCCTGGGCTGTGGGGCAGCAGAACGCTGAGTGGGGTGGCCACACATTCTGCAGGGCCCTGGGCACAGACACTTGCTGGGTCCAATCACGCTGCCCCCCATGGCCAGTCCCCCCCAGCTCCGTGCATCCATTGCTCCCCACGCATGGGGCCCCTCGGCTGTGGCGTGCGTCCAGCCCCGCACGCTCCTGTGTGTGAGGCTCTGGGCACACCTCCGCCAGGAGCCGGGAAGCCGGAAGGAGACACCCACGCACAGCCGTCCACGCGGGAGAGGAGCCGATCCCTGCGGCAGCCCATCTCCACAGGAACAGGAGGGGAGCTCGCGTGGGGAGCTGCTGAGGAGGCTCAGCAGGGGAGCTCGGGGAGGGGGGGGGCATGTCCCCTGTGCATACCTCCACCCAGCTGACAACGTGGGGGGAGCAAGAGGAGCTAGCTGGGACACTGCAGGGGCGCCCGAGTCACTGTCTGCCTGGGGAACGCCCCACACACGGCCAGACCCAGCTACTCAGCGGAGGGGTCTGTCCCTCCCCCACTGCAGGGGAAGCCACGCTCACAAGGCCGGGGGACTCACACGGCTTCTGGATCCACTGTGTCCAGGGCCAGCAAAGGCTCCTGCCCCAGGAGCCCGACTCCAGGGGTTCACACAGGTCCCCCCTGAGTTTCCGGCTCGCCCCAGCCCCCTTCCCTGAGCTGGCCTGGGGCGGTTAGCATCACTCACCAGTGCTGGGGTAGCCAGGGAGGTCTCGGTCGCCCAGGCCCTGGGGATACCCCACATATGACTCGTCGTCTGGCTCCACTTTCACCACAATCTCCTGCTTCACGTCAGGCCAGCCTGTGCCCGGGAGGGGAACAGAGAGAGAAGGGAAGAAGGAATAACGTCCCGGGTCCGCGGGACAGTCCTGGGCTGAGCTAACCCTTGGAGACTCTGAACTGAACAGGCCCCGGCTGGGGAACCTGGACTGGGACTTTGGGGCTCTTGCATGTGAAATATTTTGTGCCCATCCTTTCCTGGCCCAGGGCAGACAAATAACGCTTATTTCACCAGACCCGCTGCTCGAGGCATCCCTGTGCTGGGGGCTCAGACCCACTCCCTGGGGATGAGCCCACGTCCCACGGCCGTGCTCCTCAAGCGGGGCTCATGCCTTGCTCTGGGAAGAAGGGTCCTGGCTGCACATGAGCGCAGGGACCACGCTGCTGCTTGATGAGCCCCTAGGTCTGGTCAACACGTCTAGTCCCAGTTAGTCCCAGCTTCCCTTCTGTGGCAAAGGCTACAGTGCTGGAAGCAACCCTGCAGCTCCAAGCACACCCGGCTTTGATCAACTTTTGGTACAGCTCAGTCCGTCTTGGGCCATTCCATGGTCAGAAACAGCTGGCAGGACACAGGCAGCCCGACTGTAGGAGTTTATAAGGGTTCCCCCGAGATCCTAGCTCTTCCTGGCCTCCCTTTGCCTGACCAACTCCAGGCGGAATTTAGCAGCACTCACCTGTGCTGGGGGCCTGGCGAATTCCTCTCTCTCCCTGCTCTGGGGGTGCCCCCGCGCACGGCTCCTCTTCCTGCTCCGTTTTAATAAACACCTTGGGGCTGATGTCAGCAGAACCTGCAAGGACCGAGAGTCACAGTCTGGTTCCCGGGGCACCGACAGGCTGGCAGATACTTTTTTGTATAAGTAGGGGCATAGCGAGCAGATCGAGGGATGTGATCGTTCCCCTCTATTCGACATTGATGAGGCCTCATCTGGAGTACTGTGTCCAGTTTTGGGCCCCACACTTCAAGAAGGATGTGGATAAATTGGAAAGAGTCCAGCGAAGGGCAACAAAAATGATTAGGGGTCTGGAACACATGAGTTATGAGGAGAGGCTGAGGGAGCTGGGATTGTTTAGCCTGCAGAAGAGAAGAATGAGGGGGGATCTGATAGCTGCTTTCAACTACCTGAAAGGGGGTTCCAGAGAGGATGGCTCTAGACTGTTCTCAATGGTAGCAGATGACAGAACGAGGAGTAATGGTCTCAAGCTGCAGTGGGGGAGGTTTAGACTGGATATTAGGAAAAACTTTTTCACTAAGAGGGTGGTGAAACACTGGAATGCGTTACCTAGGGAGGTGGTAGAATCTCCTTCCTTAGAGGTTTTTAAGGTCAGGCTTGACAAAGCCCTGGCTGGGATGATTTAACTGGGAATTGGTCCTGCTTCGAGCAGGGGGTTGGACTAGATGACCTTCTGGGGTCCCTTCCAACCCTGATATTCTCTGATTCTCTGATTCAACCTATTTAGCTCATCCCAGAGCAGGTTCAGAGGTGACTCCACCGTGCTCTCCAAGTACCTGCCTGGGCAGAGGATCTCTGTCCTGTGGGAGCCGGCAGGACAACACACGGGGGCTGGAAGCTGAAGTTAGAAACATTCCAGCTGGAAAGAAGATGCAACGTGTGAGCGCTGCGGGGCGGGGGATGGACTGTTCATTGGCACAGCCTCCCCGGGGGCGGGTGGACTCTCCATAGCGTGGAGTCGGTAAAGCAAGACCGGCCGGTTTCCTGCTGAGCAGTCCTGGGGGGCTCAAAGCACCACTCACCTGCGCCGCAGGTGTCCGGCATTCCCCTCTCTCTCATTTCCCTGCGATCGCCCACATGCAGCTTGTCCCCTCGCTCCATCTGAGACCGGCTTTCCATGTCAATGCGCCCGGAGCCTGCCCAAGGGAAAGACGAGTCACGCTCTGGGCCTCCCCGGGTCACCCAGGGCATGATCCATAACCCAATTCCCAGGCAGCATCTGCCTTTAACCAGAGACACGTTTCCTCCACGGGCCACAGGCTCAGGCCAGGCAGTGAAGACAAGGGGCACATTTGCAGTGTGAGGATTCGAACTCCCCACCCATTGGGGTCCCAGTAACCCAGGGCCGTGCGCTCTCCAGTCTCTCCCGCGCCCACACCCACAACCTGTGCTGTGCTCAATCCTCTCTAGTCACTACCTTCCCCCTCCCCGTTCTGTTCCTTCCCCTGCCCCCTCTTCCCCGGCACCACATGAGCTCCCTCTTCAAATCCCAGCACCCCCACTGGGACTGGCCACTTAGAGGGAGGTCAGGAAGAGCCAGTTATAACAGCCAGGGCTGCAGACGTGGGCAGGGATTTGGAGAGGGCTGCAGACCTCCTCCTCTCCGTGGCAGGAGCCAGCCTCTAGCTAATGGGGGCAGAGGGAACTGCCCCAGGGCAGGTTATCCCATCGCTGCCCCCTGCAGAGTTCTTGCCCCTTCCTTTGAAACGACTGGCCACAGTCAGAGCCAGCAGTACAGGGCCCGCTGGCCTGACCCAGCGAGACAGTTCCCCGAACACACGGCACACAGCCAGCTATTCCCACCGCCGAGCTCCCTGGGGCACCGGCCGTGCCACGCATGCATTCAGAACGAGAGCCAGGAGACATAAACCAGAAACACCCGAGCTCTTTGTTAGTGATCAACTCCCTGGGGCATTTCCCTGTCTCCTGACACGCCCTTGTGAGCCACTCCTCACCGCGTCATCCCTCCAGAGGAGACTGGCTCCTCAGGGCACGGGATGCTGACTGTCCATCTGCCTGCAGAGACCTTGTCCGCACGGCCCCACGGGAACACTCGCACTCTGCTGGTCCCTTCCCACACTTGCATCTCAAAGGCCCCTTTGTGTTATTTCTCGCTGGTTTTCCAACCCCTCCCAGTTCAGCATCCGCGAAGGTAGCCCACGCCACGTTCACCCTCCCCCTACAGTCCCTCACAGAGACGTTAAATAAATCCAGGTGCACCGTCAATCTCAGAGACACCCCCAGTAGGGCACGGTACTGCCTGTCCCTGTCCTTCACTTATGGTCCCGCCGCCAGCCTAAACCAGAACTATGGCCAACCAATGGCTGCCACCCTGTGTCGTCGCTCTGCTGCGGACACCGGGCCAGACACCGGTGAGCTCTGACTGCTTCGCGCCAGCCAGTGAGCAAAGCGGAAGGAACATGAGAAGAACCCGGGTGTCAGCCAAGAGAACAGGGCCTAGAGCTCGGAGACCGATACACCCATCAGGCTGCACCGGGAGCTGTAAGATCCGTGCGCCCCAATAACCGCCCTTGCCGACTCGTGGCAATAACTCTTATTGGGAGAGGCCAGCAGGACAGGGGTTGTGAGTAACAGGATGAAGCCAGATTTCTAGAGCCTCGATTCATGGCTAGCAATGGAGATGTCAGAAAGCCATCAGATACAACAGCACCTAGACAGACGGTCCCCAAAGCGGTGTGCTCTTCTCCCGTCTCCTCAGACGGCTGGTCTCCCTAAAACAGCCTCAAGATTTTCAATATCACATATTTGAACCTGGGGAAGAAATGACGTGGGAAAAGGGTTTTAATTTTTATTTTCCTTGCACCGTTTCTATGCCCAGTAAAGTCTCTCCATGGGGTGTCCTCCTGGAATATCACCAGCCGCCTCTCGGGGGTGGGTCGAGGGGGGGCAGCTTTCTGCCTTTAACCTACCGCCCAACATAAACAAGAGGCAGCCACTTCCCAGAGACACAGAGCCAAGGTGTGCACACGTCCCAGTGCCGGCTTGGCTTCACTGCTTTTATTACACAGGAGCACCGGGACAGCTGCCTAGTAAAAAATACAAGACAGAGAAATCTAGCCAGGGGGTGATGGGCCAAATTCTGTGCTGAGCATCGCACACCTGGCAGGCTTGTTGGAATCAGGGGTGGAAGTCAAGACAGGATTTTGCCCTGTGGTTGGAGGGGAACGGAGCACCCTGGTTTATACCACATGCTAGTTTGTTTTCTCATAGGAGGCCGGTTGCTCTTGGTGGCCAATCTCACAGGTTCGCCAGGCCTTCTCCTCAATTCCAGGCACACCCAACTCTCCCAGCAAAACCAGGGAGGCAGGAGTAGGCCTCCAGCTGGTAAATGCAGCAGGTGAGGGACACACACTCTAATTGGGAGGTTAAAATTAGTCCTGATCTGAAGCCAAGTGGAGCATTTCACAGATTCCAGCCAGTCTTATCGCTACCCAGCGAAACCACGAGCTTGTCTCTCTCCTGCCTCCCGTCCAGTAAAGCTCCGGCTACCATTCTGCTAACTCTGCCCACTCCTCTGGGGAAAAACAGACAGTGACGTCCTCAGACATATCTGCACCCCGCTCACCGCTCGGGAAAGCTCCAGCTTTTGCTTATTTATGATGAGTGTTTACACGGCACCAGAGGCGGGAGCTAGGAGCTTTGCAGACACATCGATCCAGTGACTGTTCCTGCCCCGGGAGCTTGCAACGTAAGGCCTGGATTCTGCTCACCTCCCTCCCCACGGAGGTCACGGCTGCAGTGTCGTTTGCATGGAGAGAGATGCGCATCTATGAATTCAGGGTTTGCCTGGTTGTTGTTCCTCCCCCTCCATTTTTTTTAATCTCCTTCCTCTGAAGCATTGGGGTGGCCAGGGCTACAGACGGGATGTTGGGGGTGGGCCAGGGCGCTAAGGGGACACCGAGCGTTCTCGCTCTCACGTGCTGGGCTGGCTGGTTCATGCCCACATTTTCGGGGGTTAACTCATCGCCATGTGTGGGGTGGGGAAGAATTTCCCCCCCTGCTCGGATTGCCAGTCACCTGGGGGGAGGGGGCGCGTTGCCGTCTTCTGCAGCCTGTGGGTGCCGGTCCCTTGCCAGGATTATTGGGGTGTCTCTCACTTCAGCCTTTCCCTGACACTGACAAGCACTGGGGCCCCTCGGTCCCTCCGACCCTCCTGTGCTCTAGTCTCCAGTGGGCTGCCAAGCTCTGGTCTGATCTCGCCGTTGGGGTCAGTGGGCGGGTGCTGGGGGGCGCTGCTGGCCTGTGCTACACGAAAGATCAGACCAGACGCTTGGGTTGTCTCTTCCAGCTTTAAATTCTGTGATTCTGTGACTCCAAAGGGTCTATGGCTGCTCTCCACCTCTGCCTTGCTCCTGGGCACACCCCACATTTTAACACCTCCATTTTTAAAAACGAATCTCAAGAAAAAGGGGCATTGCAGCGCCATGTCAGTACCGGTTAGCACAGGCCATTAGGACATTGTTATTCACTTCGTAGTGTCTGGTGCAGGGGGCTCTGCAAAACAAGGACCCGGTCCCTGCACCAGATGGCTCATTCCCTAGGACCCCGCTACCGCAACCCCTTGGGAGCAGCCGACCTCTGGGCCCCCACGGAGCCCCACGCAAGGCCAGTGTAGGGCCAGAAACAGACGAACAGAGCAGGGGAGCAAGAGGACAGGGTAGCACTGACATGGGAACGTTTTGCACACTTGGCGGTCGTCTCCGGCCTCGTTTAAACCCCCGTGTGAGACAACCCCTGAGAGCCGAAGTCGGAGACGTCACCGTCTACACGACCGGCAAACGGCACTGGTGCGAACAGCAGTGGGTAGTGTTTGTTTGGGCTGGTGCAGGTGGCTGTAATCCCCAATGTAAACACTCACACAGCTTGGCACCTGCCCAGCCATCACATGGCCTCTCTCTGCGGTGCTCTCCCCTCCCCAGGGCTGCCACCTCTCGAGAGTCCATCACGAGCCTCGTGATCTTTGCCGTGTTTGTTTAAAGCCCCAGCTGCCGGAGTCAAGAGACTGTGGGAGAATCCCCGCTTCCATGGATTGTGGAGAAAAGCCCGACAATGGGAAGCAAAGACACCGTAAAGGCTAGGAAGCAAATCAAACAAACCCAAGGTTTAAAAGACGCTCAGGGCTTTTAAGCCAGTCCCATGATCCTTTGCAGCCTGACTCATGATGTTTGATCACATGAGGCTGCTGGCAGTATGGCCTCCCCCCTCCATTTATCATCATCCCTCACGGTTTATGTCAAATCTAGACCCAAACCTTCTTTATCTCCTTCACACCAATGACTGGCCTGCGGAACAGAGCCAGGGCTGGACCGGTCTGAGCCAGGCCACAGCCCAGCAGGACAGGGAAGCAGACATGGGAGGATTTCCAGTGCAAGAGAGACTATTATTGTCACATGCCCTTCTTGCTGTCTCCTCTTCTACCCTCTCAACCTGACAGATTAGGGTGCCTGGAGGCGACAGGGGAGGTCAGGGCGGGAGGATAAAGCCCCAATCCGGCAACTGGATCCCCGCCAGCAGATCCAATTGCAGGATCAGGGCCCAGGGTGCCCAGTGAAGGACCAGGGCCAGATCCGCAGCTGGTGTCAATCCAGGGAGCCCGGCTGCCATGGATGGAGTTGGTCCGATTTCCACCGGCGGAGGATTCCTGGCCCGTCCCCGTTTGCCCCCATTCTCAGCTACAGTTAAACACAAATCACCTTTTCCCCTCTCCAAAAATCCCTTCCTGGGGGACCCGGCCAAGGAGCCGGCGCCTGGCGGGCGGTCCCGGGGGATGCGGGCGGGTGGCGCGGGGATGGTGAACAAGGGAAGCGCCGGTAGCAGCTGGGGGCGGGGGGAAGCCGGGGGACCCCCACGCGGCCCAGCCACTGTGCCCCGGGCTGAGCCTTGTCCTGGCCCCCGCCCAGCCCGTGCACGCCCCGTGCGGGCCAGGGGCGAGTGGAGCTCTGCGGCCGGGGTGGGGCGCGGGCAGCGAGGATCCAGGTCCCCCGCCCCCGGCCAAACCCACGGCACTTGCAAGCCTCGGGGGGAGCAGGCGAGGGGCCCATTTGCTAGGGGGAGAGCTGACTCCGCCCCACGGATCCCCGAGCAGCCCCCCCCCGGGAGAGCGGATCCCTGCGCGCAGCGCCCCCCCCGGGAGCGCGGATCCCTGCGCGCAGCAGCCCTTCCCCCGGGAGCGCGGATCCCTGCGCGCAGCAGCACCCCCCCGGGAGCGCGGATCCCTGCGCGCAGCAGCCCCCCCCCGGGAGCGCGGATCCCTGCGCGCAGCAGCCCCCCCGGGAGCGCGGATCCTGCGCGCAGCAGCCCCCCCGGGAGCGCGGATCCCTGCGCGCAGCAGCCCCCCCGGGAGCGCGGATCCCTGCGCGCAGCAGCCCCCCCCGGGAGCGCGGATCCCTGCGCGCAGCAGCCCCCCCCCGGGAGCGCGGATCCCTGCGCGCAGCAGCCCCCCCCGGGAGCGCGGATCCCTGCGCGCAGCAGCCCCCCCGGGAGCGCGGATCCCTGCGCGCAGCAGCCCCCCCCGGGAGCGCGGATCCCTGCGCGCAGCAGCCCCCCCCCGGGAGCGCGGATCCCTGCGCGCAGCAGCCCCCCCGGGAGCGCGGATCCCTGGGCGCAGCAGCCCCCCCGGGAGCGCGGATCCCTGCGCGCAGCAGCCCCCCCGGGAGCGCGGATCCCTGGGCGCAGCAGCCCCCCGGGAGCGCGGATCCTGCGCACAGCAGCCCCCCGGGAGCGCGGATCCCTGCGCGCAGCAGCCCCCCCCCGGGAGCGCGGATCCCTGCGCGCAGCCCCCAGGCAGGTCCCGGCCGGGCTCCCCGAGGCGCGCCCCGCGCAGGGAGCGGGCAGCCCGCTGCACTCACCCGCTGCGCGCTGCGCCCCGGCTGCGCCCGGCTCCCCTATGGCCGCCGACTCGGGAACTTCCCCAGCCCGATCGGCCGTCGCCGGGGGCAGAGACAAAGGGCTCCGCGCCCGCTGCATCCTGGGAGCCGTAGTCCGCGCGTAGAGACGCGCGGGGCCGGCGCGCAAGGGGGGCGCAGGACGCGCGCACCTCGCCAGGGCGCGGGGCCAGGGCGCAGGGTTCCCCGCGCAGCGCCGGGTCGGGGGCGCTGTGAGCCCGGCCGCGGGGGACACGGGTTCGCCCGGGCTGGGGCCGGGAGGAAAACTACAGCTCCCAGCAGCCGCGGGCGGCGCCGAGCCTCCGGCTCCGGTTTGGCGCCGGAGTCTGCACCCCGCTCCGGTCCCGGGATCTCCCGTGTCCGGCCTGCGCTGCGGGACCGAGAGGCAGCCGAGCCGGCCCCGACCTCTGCACCCCCCCGCCCCGCTGAGCCCAGACTCTCCAAACCGGATTAGCTGGTGCAGAAATAACCCGGTGTGAACAGGCGGTGCCGGGTGGAAGGCAGGGCAGGGTCGCTGAGCCCAGGGCCCACTCTGGCCCGCCCGTCTCCTGCTCCTGGGGCTGGCTGGATTTTCGGGCACATGACTCAGTGGCCCCTTCCAGGGCGCAGAACAATCAGCGTCAGCGGACTCTCGGTGTGCTAGGAGCTGTACAGACAGGAGCAAAGAGACAGGCCTTTCCCTAACCTAGAGCACCAGAGGCCAGGGGGATGAACCAGACAGGTGGGCAGGGCCAGGGAGAGGGAAGGAAGAGGTAACAATCCAGTCATCTTTAGCTTTTGGATCCCAATGACAGAAAGACCCTTCCAGCCAGGGACTGTAACACTGACCCCATGTGCTGGGCAGGCTGCAAGGAACTGGGTTCTGCTTAGTGCAAGCCTGAGTCCTGGACCCAACATTGGGTCACCGCCAGAATGTTTCCAAGGGCCTCGTGGCACAGCCGGACCCATGGCCCTGGCTGGGCTCGCCTCCCTCTCCAGGCACTGCAGCCTCTGGGTCCCAGCGCCACTCAGGTCTGGCCCAGACGTCAGCGTGACCGGAGTAGGGGCAGGACCTGACCGAAACCGCCCTTGGGCAGGGCTGTAACCATGGCGGGGCGAGCAGGGCAGCTGCCCAGGGCGCAAAGCTGCAGAGGTAGCTCAGGCCAGGTGGTTCAGGCCAGCCCCACGCGGGGAGGGAACATCACCTCCACCCCCGGACTCACCTCAGCAGGCCTCCCAGCCGGTCTCAGGTGGGGGAGATGCAGCCAAAAAATCTGAGGGGCAAGTGACCCCCCACACGTGTCTCCTCTGGTTGGGAGCGCAAATATGCTTGCCCAGCCCAAGCACTAAAATGCCTAGTTACGGCTTTGCCCCAGGGCCTCCAGCCCCAGACTATTTACTGGGTCACGACGGGCCGTAAACATTTACAGGTGGGTCCTGAGCCCAGAAAGGTTGAGAACCCCTGTCGTAGAATAATGTGCAGAGACACAAAGACTGCCCTGGGACGGGGCCAGGGTGCAAACACCAAGTCTTCTCAGCTGGTGTTTTGGTCACTGGCACAAAGGCTCCTAGAGGTGCTGGCTCTCTGGGCTCAAACCTGCATGCTGGGTCCGGCTCTGTCCTGGCTGGTGGAAGCCATGGGAAAGAACTGGTTCTGTCACTGGCTGGGGTTTTCAGGGGCAGGGTGCCAGCTGTCTTTAAGGAAGCTATTGCAGGATTCTCAATTCTACCTGTTAGACCAGAATCTCACCGCCCTGCTCTCATGCTGTGACTGGTTTTGAAAGTTTAGATGTAGATGAGACAGGGACTTCTGCCGCCCGGGGACATAGTCTGGCAGCTTGAACCTTTCAGGGCTACATGTTCAGAAAGGCCGGGTGCAATCCATGTGCCATAAACTGTGCACGGCTGTGAATCGGGGCTGCGCGGGGCGGTATAAAGGTTTGATTGGCGTTTGTTTGCAAGCACATTCGCCATCGGTAGCTGCTGGAGGCTGCTCCGGGATTTGGAATGGTAACAACGTTACTGAGCGCGTCATTATCCTGGGTATATTACGTAATTCTATAAAATCCAGTTCTGCACCTAGCTGGGCTGGGTAACCGCTGGCTTTTCCCCACCTCTCCCCAGTTTGCTTGTTACGCCCACTGGTTCATCTTGCCTTCGAGTGGCTTTAGGGCTGTCTCTTGCCATGTCTTCGCACAGCAGCTAGCGCGGGGCCCATCCTCACCGGGAGCTATGAGAGACGTGGCGATATCCTGGGCGCACCTCCTGGAATTCAGATCAACATTACTGAGCGAAGTGCAACTCGATGGGCCTCAAAGGCATTGACCTGTCACCGTGTTTGTGTTACTAGGGAATTGGATGTAACATCTCTAGGAGACTGACTAGTGGAATCTCTGGGAAGGGGCAGGAATGTCAAAGGATTTTTGGGACAACACGTGGGAAGTGGATTTCCTAGGAAATCCTGGGGGTTGGGAATGACCCATCTCTGAGTCCGTCCTCTTGAAGCTGAGAAAAACCCATTGTCCACTGATCCCCTGCTCCTGGAAACTCCAGATCAGAGACCCCTGAACAGCACAAAGGATGGACTAAACTTTTCATCTGGGTGCTAGTCCTGAGCTGGGGCTGCTATGAACCTGTGACCCTAAAGGGGGGTTGAAGGACTACTCCTGCCAGAGCCCTTGTTGGGGTGAGGGGTGTGATCGCTGGTAAGCTCACTAGAATGTGTGTAGGTTCTTTTATTGTTTGTCACATGCTTTCTCTGTAATGCTTTTGACCTAAGAATGAATGTTTGCATAGAGAAGGCTGTGTGGTTGCTTAACCCTGGGCACTTGTACTGTGACTAATCTCTGAAGAGCAAGGAGACCTGCCTGGCAGACTGTCTGTTGCTGGGAATAAGACAGCGAGGGCAGGGAACTGCTCAGGGAACTGGAATACGGCGGGCAGGAGGGAGAGAGACACAAGTCTCCACCCAAGACAGGTGACAGATAGGAGGCTGGAAGTCTCAGAATGGGTGCCCCTTGCTGAACCACTGAGAGGAAATACAGGGTGCAGTGGCCCTGCGTGGTGACAGATGCTACTGCAATACCCATAGTCAACCCTAAGACGAGCGTACGTCCTGGGGCGTAGACCTGCGAGCGGGTGATGCCGTCATGATGCAGAGAATGGAGGGCTGGAGAGACAGGGATTTGGGGAGGACGAGCGTGCGATGGGAGCTGTCACAGGGAGAAGAGAGAGGCTGGGCCCAGGAATATAAGAACGGGAGGCGGTGCAGAGTAATGCTGTCTGGCGGCATTACTAGAAATAGACTCCGGAGTCAGTGAACTGTAATGGGTGGAGAGCAGAGGCGTCAGGACAGTTATTAGGCAGTCCCTGTGTCGTCCCAGTGGTGTGCCAGGCGGTTCACAGAGAGACCCGGTGCTCAGACGCTGCGGTGCGGGGTGGGGGGCTGTAAGAACCCGTGCAGAAATAGGAAAACGAGGGCCCCAGAGGAGCTATTCGTGATCAAAAGTGATTCACCAGATTAATGCACATTTGAAACCCACTCGCCAAGTCTCCCCTTTACGTGTCGTCTCCCCTCCTCTCTCTCTCCTTCTTTAGAGTCTTTTGCTAAACTCCAGCCCTCCTCCTGACCTAGCTGAGCACTTGCTTAAAATCTGCCTCAGCCACAGGGTTGAAGGGCTCAGTGTGGACAGCGCATGGATCCGATGGCAGGATCGGGTCCCAGGTACAGACGAATGCTCTGCAGATCTCTGAGAGGATCCTCTTCCACGGTGGATCTGGGATGTGTTGGCCTAGTCTGTGCACTGTTCACACCGCAACCCATTCTAGCTTAACGCAGTTTTAAAGGCAACCTGCCAGGAGAAAAGCGATGTGCGTTTTTTTAAGTCCCAATAGCTCCTGCCATGGCATCTATGGTCCTTCTCCATCCCTTCCCATCGCCTGCTCTCAACTTCTCCTTCCCTGTCTCTCTGACTGGGGGAGCTCTTATTTAATATTTTCATTAATGACCTTGGCACAAAGCAGGAGCGTGCTAATGAAATGTGCTGACGACACAGAGCTGCGAGGCATCGTCACCGCGGAGGAGGATCAGAATATCACCCAGAAAGAACTGGGTGACCCTGGGGACTGGAGTTCCGGAAACGGGATGAAATTTAAAAAGTACAAAGTGCAAATTCATGCACTTAGGAGGACTAATAAAAATTTCTGCTACAAGCTGGGGGTTCATCACTTGCAAACAACAGGGGAGAAGAAAGACCTGGATGTTGATAAATTGAAGATGGTTCAGAGAAGAGCCACAAGAATGGTTATCGTGATAGACTCAAGGAGCTCAGTCTATTTAGCTTAAGAAAGAGAAGGCTAAGGGTGACTTGATTACAGTCAGACTGGAAATAAGGCGTACCTTTTTATCAGTGAGGGTAATTAACCACAGGAAGAACTTACCAAGGGTCCTGGTGGATTCTCCATCTCTGACGGTTTTCAAATCAAGATTGGATGTTTTCCTAAAAGCTCTGCTCTAGGAATTACTTTGAGGTAGCTCTTTGGTCTGAGCTATACAGGAATTCAGACGAGATGATCACAATGGATCCTTCTGGCCTCGTGATCGATGAACCTGTGGCTCTGTCTATCAGTCCATCCCAGGATGACTCTGAGCCACCAGTGTGATGTAGCTGTCCAAACGGCAAAGGCGATCCTAGGATGCATCAGGCCTGGCAGTTCCCGTAGAGATGGAGAAGTGTAACTGCCATTCTACAAGGCACTGGTGAGGGCTTGTCCTAGATAGAAAGGGAAGGGTCACCACCTGTCCGTATACAGGGCTATAAAATCCCTCCTGGCCAGAGGCAAAACCCTTTCACCTGTAAAGGCTTAAGAAGCTAGGAGAACCTCGCTGGCACCTGACCCAAAATGGCCAATCAGGGGACAAGATACTTTCAAATCTGGAGTGGTGGGGGGGAACAAAGGGTTGGTCTGTCTGTGTGATGCTTTTGCTGGGAACAGATCAGGAATGCAGCCTTACAGCTCCTGTTAAGTTAGTTTTCAGAGGAACAGCCGTGTTAGTCTGTATTCGCAAAAAGAAAAGGAGTACTTGTGTTACCTAGGGAGGTGGTAGAATCTCCTTCCTTAGAGGTTTTTAAGGTCAGGCTTGACAAAGCCCTGGCTGGGATGATTTAACTGGGAATTGGTCCTGCTTCGAGCAGGGGGTTGGACTAGATGACCTTCTGGGGTCCCTTCCAACCCTTATATTCTATGATTCTATGATTCTATGACCTTAGAGACTAACCAATT